TTTAGTCCCTGCCATGTCTTGCAAGTCATCCCCTTACTGATGTCATGTATACAAATAAAAGTGTATCCCAAAATTGATATCACCTGGCTGTGGCTGAGGGGTAGAAGGTCGTAAGTTCGATTCCCAGTCTTCCCATCTGCATGCCAAAATGTCCTTGGGCAAGATGCTGAACCCCTAATTGCCCCTCATAGAACAACAATAAAAGTGCTACTCTAGATGCACTGTATGTATGAATGTGTGTGTGAATGGGTGAATGGCAAACTGTAGTGTAAAGCGCTTTGAGTGGTCTTCAAGACTAGAAAAGCGCTATATAAATACAACCATTTACCAGCTAATGATTCTTATTTGACAGTCATTGTCTCCTTGTGCTACTTGGCTAGGATTGGCGTGCCACCATTTCCGATGCACAGATTAATCAACTGTTTCATTAGGAGGGTGTTAAATGTTCATAGGTTCATGCTAAACACTCTGATGGAAAGCTGGTCCTCACCCTCCCCTGGTTCCTCCTCACCTGGAGCTAACTGTCAGTCACAACATCCATCAGTCACGCTGATCGATTTCTGTCACACGTCCACACACAGAGACGCAGCTGCTGCTGTCAGCCTCCATCTCAGGTGACAGGTGTGTTAGACACTAGTTCTTAGGCTCACACTCATATAGTCTGAAGCAGGGATTTAGTTTGTCTCCACATGGTGCTGCACACAATCCTACATGCACAGGTTCAGGTCATTCTGTCAGTTTATTAAGTGAGATGAGTATAGGAGCTCAACCTGCAGTCTTCTGTGATTAGCTCAGTATTGTCTTTACTCCAGAGTTTACAAAATGTCCACATATCTTTTCCAGACGTTTTTAACAGCATCTAACTCCTTCATGTCATGAGATTTTTCATTCAAGTTATTTCTAACTAGAATGGAACTCAGTAGAGCATTCACGTCCACCGAGTCCCGACAGTTCCTTTATGAAACCACGTTTAAATTCACTTGATCCAGATTTTTATTTGGATCTGCTTCAAATTTCGCACACTTAATAAATAATGAATATCAATCCCCTAAACCTGCCTGATCTCTTTCATCAAGATCCATGGATATTCTCTGAGAAATCAAAGAAAATGTTGAAAAACACCTCCACCTCATTATGTCAAAGAAAGTTATCTGTATCTCTTCCAAAATGTTGTTTCCTGACAACACACCACATCCCTCCACCAAGTTTATTTGTAATCTGTCCAATTGTTCCTGCTGATAAACTAACAATACTGATGCAAACATCCACCCTTGGCAAAGGAGTATGAAAAATCTTTATATAGGAAACTATTTCCATGGTGAAGAATGAACTTTCATACCTGGACAGCTCAGCGTGTATCTTTTATATACTTTAATGGACTTTGTCGTGGTAACACCGTTTACAAGTGAAGCTTCAAAAGACAAAATATAAAATGTGATCTCCTTGTATGCTGTATATGAGGAGTTTAACCCAGTCTTTGATGACGTAATGAGTAAAACATGACTGAACATATTAAAGAGCTTCATCATTAATATGAAGGAAGAGACTCAAAGGTCAATTTAATCATGTATTCAGGTGCTTTGCTTTACTGCTAATGATTCTCCTAAAAAAACAATTACCTTTGTGTCTTGACCTCTGTCACTCTTGAAATAAGTGAGCGAGGGAATGAGTCAGATTTTGTTAATTTGAAGAAAACTGTGATCCTCATCCTTCACAGCGCTGCAGCTCCCTCATCATGGAGGTTCACAAGCAGCGGGTGGTGCAGACCGATCCAGTAATCCCTCTGAGCTGCTGCACCCACCCTCTGTCGGCTCACTGCTCACAACAGCAGTGAGCCGACAGATGTGGCAAATTCATATCGACAGATTTCACACAAACAACAGGTGTCGGGCGTAAATGTCAAACTCCTGCGAGACACAACTTAACCTTTTCTGGAGTGACTCTTACACAATTTAGTACAAACAGGAAATTTATAGATGGAGTATCCTGCCACCCATAACATGTTTTGTTCAAAGGTTTGTTTCCTCTGCCAAGGTTGTGTTTTCACTCCTATTTGTTTGAATGCAAGCAAGGTTACGCAAAAACTACTAGACAGATAACCACAAAACTAGCACAAACCTTTTCTTAAACATTCTGAAATATAGGACATTCTTAAATAAGGTATATTTGCAGAGCTGATATCTATGAGTGTATGAAATGTGGTACAGCTTGATTTTGAATTTAATGAGACTGTTGGGCCTTGGTGGAGGTATGTGCTCCACTGAGTAACATTTGAGATCTTTCTCTAATGTTCTCCAGTTGTGAGATGCGTCTACACCAAGAGCCCATGCAAAAAAGATTAGATCAAAATGAAAGAAGACACCATCAACATGTGTCTCAGTAAGCAGCACAACTGTGCTTTACTTTTTGTGATGATGTGATAATGGCATTGAAGCCCTTGATAAAAATATCTAACACTCTTGTCTCAGAGGAAAGTATTGAGTGTGTCAGCTTCTACCAGAGGAAGAATCATTATGGGATCTCAGTGTATCTTGAACTCTTTGAACTGAACAATAGAAAAAAAGATATATATAAAATGCACTGATCCTTCTGTACCGAGTGAGGGAGATGGAACACTGTGAAGGGCACAAGAATATTTTCTTTCTGATGTCAGAAGTGATACAATGAACTGGTGAAGACTAAGAGGTATGGAATTCAAAGGAAAAAGCTTCTGCATTGTGTTTGACTGAAGGCTGGGTCTGCAGGGGAGAGATAATACTAATAGTATTATCTTCTCCTGTAGTAGCTGCATTTTACAAGCAACACCCCAAAAACTGTACATTTATAATCATACAACAAAACATTGCAGATATTACCTGAAAGAAAACAATGATGAAGCAACCCTTAACCATTATCCCCTAGATCCAATTTGCAAGTGTTTAAACTACAGCTACCAGTTCACAATACAATGTAAACACGTGTATGTGCGTGTGTGTGTCAGCGTGCACACACCAGTGATAATCACAAGAGCACCACCTGTAGATGTATTCAGTTTAAAAGTACATTTTACTCTTCCTGTTTCCCATGTGACTGACGGCTGAGGACAGAAACCAGATGCAAACACTCAACAAGTAAAAACAACATTTTTTAATTTCAGCTGGACTTTAAGAGTAAAGAGATGGAGGTGTTGGGTCTGTGCAGAGTGAGCTGGCACAGAAGCAACTGTCATGTTGGCATGTAAAGTTTACATGACGCTGTGTGTGTGTGTGTGTGTGTGTGTGTGTGTGTG